TAGGGTGACCCGGGCAACCCGGCTGGTAGCCTAGTTATCAACCACATTTACATTTCTGTCGCTCAGTCGTTTTCTATTGCTATCCTTCTGGCGACGTATTCCAGAGATAGGGCCTCCCTGCACTACTCACCAAATTCGCAAAATGTGAATGAATCTTCCGCTAGAACATGGGAATATACACCATGTTTTTTCAACTTTTTTGTCTTTTGTGCATTTTGCTGAGTAGTGGAGCAAGGCCCACCCCAGGCAAAATTTTTGGACTCCCTGAAGTCAAGGAGGTGCCTGGCCAGGTCTCGTAGAGGCTCAGTATAGCATCAGCATGCGTCAGAGCATGGTTGGTTGAGAAAAACAAACACCACCGATGAGGACGTGGAAGACTTTAAAGAAGACAATGGAGGTGACAAAACAAACAAAAGGAATAGTCGTGCACAAAAAAAGGTTAGATATTTCAGAAGATAACGCAGCCTTACGCAGGCGCGTGGGGCCTACTCAGGCCATACTATTAGTAGCAACTCCCTAAATGTATCTGACTGCACTTATGGCCCCATCTGGATGCATCTGACGTCAATCACGTCCAGAGCTTAGTAGTAGAGACAGAAAAGAAAAGGAAAAAAAGCGATCAGTTGTGAAGGAAAAGCATAAACAAGCCAAAACTGCATAGGGCAGAAGATCCTGCCAGCCTACTCATGCGGGTTGGGCCTAGGGCGTCGCTCCACCACTCAACAAATGCGCAAAATAAGAATGAATCTTTTGCAACAACTCAGAGAGAGACACCTCTATAACTTTGGTCTTGTGTGCATGTGGTGAGTGGTGGAGAGAGGCCCCCTACTCAGGCCATACTCACTCCAGCACTTCCCAAAATGTATTTGACAGTTTGGACTGCAATTACGGCCCTACCTGAATGCATCAGAGTGTCCTTGGCCATCCTCCTGTCGATTTGTATGATTTTTGTTTTTCCTTTCTCCGGCCGTGCTTTTCTGTGGATTGGGTGGAACACTCTAGAAAAGTGCTGCTGCTGGTCCCACACTCCACAGCATTTGCTTTGGCCACCCTGGAAAGATGAGCTGTACACTGTAGAGTCTGTGTAGACCTTTTTTTTCCTTCTTTTTTTTGGAGGATTACAGGGTTTCCACCTCGGCATTTACACAGCTATACAAAGCGGCAGTTGTGATTCATCTGCTTAGGACGAGACTGATTGAGGGTGTACTCGGACTAATTCAAATGTATCTGACTGCATTTACGGCCGGACCTGGATGCATTTGACCGCAGTTATATCCAAAGACTGGTTGAGGGTGTACTGGGACTATTTCAAATGGATCTGACCGCACAAACGGCCGGACCTGGATGAATTTGACCGCAATTACATCCAAAAAAGGAAGCAAAAACGTCACTAGTGCGAGTATGCCCTGAGTTGGGATTCAAACTTTGGTCTGCGTATCAACAGAAAAGAAGAAAAGAATTCGGAAACAGAAAAGTCAAGAAAGAAAACAAGAAGGGAAATAAAAGAAAAGAACAAGGGGGAAAAAACTTCAAAAAAGAAACCACCAGTGTGGAAGTACCGGTAGCCTGCTTAGAAGTACTGGTCGCCCGATGTAGCTTGTCAGCGGGTAGCTGCATTCACAACCTTTCCGCACAGGCCACCATGGAAGAATGACGTGCACACTGTAGTGACTGTACACTTTTTTTTTGTTTTGTTTGTTTGTTTGTTTGTTTTGAGGATCACACGGTTTGGACTTTGGAATTATGTGATTTAGCAAAGTGGCAGTTGTGATTCGTTTGCTTACTATGACAGTGATTGAGTTGGGCGTATCAAACAAAAGAGAAGAAAATCCGCATGAAACAGAAAAAAAAAAACAAAAAAAACTGCAAGCAAATAAGCAATGCGATAAACCGAGTTTCAGCACCTCATGGAAGACTAGATATTATTGAGCAGAAATCGAAAACAGAAATACAGGCGAAATTCACTCCAAAGAGGAACTGGCAAAGCACTGAAGTCTCTTGAGAATGAAAGCCCTTCTAACGCCCGCAATCACCAATACAACGACAATGTAGCCCTCCTACCGCCGGCTCTGCCCCCTACAGCTCCTATCAGACTATCCTACTTATGTCAGCAACTTTTCCACTTGTTATCATCCCAATGCTGTTTGAAGACTCTGATCGAACAGTCTGCCTTCAGCAGCACTAGGTACGTGTCTCGTCACACTGCCTCTCTTCCTTCCACCAAGGACCGCCACTACTCCACCACCGGCTAGGGAGCAAGCAGCCCAGCCATGGCTGCCACTCTCCCCTTCTTGCACCTTGCTGCCACCGTCAGCCTTCTTCTCCCTGGCCAATGCAGGCAGCGCTGCCGCATTGCTTGAATGCCCGAATGTCTAATGCAGGGTGCCCTCCGGTCTTTTGTGCTGGCTGGAGAGGCTGAGGAGGCTCTGCCCAGGCTGCACCCTGTCCCAGTTTCCCACGCCCTGGGCCCTTCCAAAATCTGCATGGGGTCCAGCATCGTCAACTCTCTTGTGGACTGGGTCTACCGGTTAAGTTGAAGATGCTGCACGCGTGCAGCGACTACCTGGGGGGCCAATTCTGCTCACATTGGCCTGAACTCAGGGCAGGCCGCATTTTTGCAGGCCCGCCTTCACTTAGGGCGGGCGGGACGTTTTCCTAGCCGACCGAGGTGCTGAAATCCTCGCACAAGAAGAGGTAAAAAAAAAAGAATTAGAACAACCAGTGTGGACGTACCGCTCCCCCGCTGTAGCTCGCCAGCGTCAACGGGCAGCTGCATCCACAACCTTCCTGCACAGGCCATGTAGCTGGATCTAAAAAAGGCTCGGAAAAGGCTGTTGCGAAGGTGCTGGGGGTCTAGCTGTTAGGTTGTTCCAGGGAAGTATTATGAACTGGTCGGTGGTCACGCACATCTGTGCGACATCTTGGCTGTACTCTGGCTCAATGTACCGTTTTATGTGAGCTTGGCATTCAGTTGCTGCCAGTACTCTTGTCTGAGGATCTGTTCAATGTACCAGTTGAGCTCTGCATCAAAGACTGGTAGCGTGAGTGTGTTTACTGCCTCTCACGCCTCCTCGAACCTAGTAGTGGTTACAGATAAGGCTGTCTTTCCTTTGTAGTAGGTTTTTGGTGACTTGTCGACTCTGTGTGGTTGTGTGGATGTTTGCCGGAAGAGCAGATCAGAAGTGTGTCCCAGATGATGTATAAGAAAGTTCACGGAATATGTGCATCAAGACTGTACTTCCGGTGCACTGTGCCCTGTTGGGTGTGCCACAAATTGGTCCAGTGCACCTAAGAGTATAAAGTTTTTATGTTTATGAATTCAGCAAATGGAACATTGTCCCAGCCCTGCGTAGCGTAGCAGTGCTGCACAGGCATACCAGTACAATCAAGATTTATGTTGCTGTGCAGCATACCAGCGCTGTGCAGGCATTGACAGTACAATCAAATGCTGCCCAGGCATTGCCAGTACAATCAAGACGTATGTTGCTGGGACTGAGTGATTTACCAAGAGATTCACAACCCTCATTGATGTTTTCACTGTTTAAACTGATAGACCGTAGTAAAACGTTCTGTTCAGCCGTAACTAGTTCTCTCCGAACCGTCCGAGATGGTCGCCCATCACACGGCTCTCCAACATGAGTAACCGTGGCGCGCCTGACACAGTGGAATTTGCTTACGCTGTGCTCCAGACTGTATCATCATCCCATCTTATATATATGGGATGTCTGGCGTGCAGTCGTTGAGGCTTTACGGTCTTAGACTTCCTTCCCTGCTGATTGTCCGCACCGACGCATTCATTATTGGATACTCGGCGGAGGTTTCAGCATACAGCCATTGATTCTCAGGGAAGTACTCATGCTTGGTTCTTTGTCGACCCCAGGTAGGGTCTCTACGAAAGACCCATGCACGGAGTTGTTCAAATATCCGGAAATCCATACGGTGAAAGATTGCAGAGCATTCCGAAAGTAGTTTACCCAACCTGAAATCAACGGAACCAAAGCACTGATGAGTCGGTGTACAGCGGAACCTTTGTGAGATTTGTATTACAAAACGAGTTTGCGAAAGAAGTGTTTCCTGTGATTTCTTGGACGGAGCAACTCTGCTGACGAGCCCGTGGGATTCAGACGCGAAGCGTCTGCTCTTCGAGTCTTTGCCAAGGTGGAGAACGTCATGTGCTAAGAAATGGAATCCTTCTCCCGTAGTGACTATGCGAGTTTGATCAGGCACGAAGTCCAGGCCCATGGGTTGGAGCCATTGTGATAGGAACCCTTGAGCGCCCTGAACAATTGTTCGACGCCAAGCTGGGCGCCTGGGCGTGTCACCCGGGGGGGGGGTGGGTCTGACTCCTGGGTTACCCGGGCGTGAGAATAAGTGGGGTCAATGTTTTTTATTTTTTTGGGTGGTGGTGGGGGTTTTCCATGCATGCCCAGAGGAGTCCAAATGCAGGCTATTTTTTTTTTTTCGAGTGTTGGCTGTCATGGGGGGTTACAAATTGGTTTTAAAGGGGCTAAAGGGGCTTAGAGGGGGGTGCCTTGGCCTGATTCTGTCATTTTCTTCTTTTGTCTTTAATATAGTGAGGAATTCTGATGTGACCCTCAGCCAAACATCGTTTGCATTTCAATTCTACACAACATATTTTTTCCCGGAATTTTGTGTTTTTTTTTTTCTTTTACGCTGGGGCTGCCCGGAACCCTGCCTGGGGGGCATGCAGCCGGCTGGGGGAACCCAGGTGTGTATTCGTGCACAAGTTGGGTGCCCAGGTACTCAGAACCCCCCCCGCTAGGTTCTTAGCTGTTTTGTTTCACATTTGGATAGTTGAATCTTTGGCATGGAATTCCGATCATCATCGTGACTCGCTTCCTCTTATGAAATTCATTAATTTAGTGTCCTTGATGTCTCTTTGTGTCTTTGTCTTATGGGACGTGCTTTGCTCTGTGTGTGTGTGTGTGTGTGTGTGTGTGTGTGTGTGCTGTCGACTTTGCTGTTGTTGTCTTTGCCAGCAAGTAGGGCCAAGTATTGCAATCAATTTCTCTGTGTATGAAACGCTGAAGAACTTCTGGATTTCACATTCTCTCTCCAAAAGGTGATTGATTTGCACGTGTACGTGTCACTGGTCCTCTGCATCCCTTTCTTTTTTCTCTGTGGTCCCTGCATCTGATATCTGTGGCCTGATTTTTGCCAGGTTTCCCCTGTCAATGGCTGCTAGGGTGGACCTTTGCTTGGTGCTATGGCCATGATGTTGCTCGTTTTGGTTGGTGGCATGCTCATTGTGTTTTTTTTTGCGTTTGCTTGTCAGTCACTCCACATCCACATCAGCATCGTTTCATTTGTCAAGACCTAAACACAATTATGCAAAGCAGATCTGGAGGAGCAGGCCGAGTTTAAGTCTTGCTGGGGCCATTGAGCCTCGTATTAGGGTTGTAAAACCTTCATTCGTCTTGCGTTCAATCAATGGGAAACTGGTTATCCATTTGGAAGAACAGATCATGTGCTCCCTAACTGTGAGCCTCTGACAGATCCATTTCTACTATGCATCGCCAAGGTATGTCATTAATTTGTTTCGAAGGCTACTAGTGCTTCCAAACCTATTTTTCCCATCGCTGATATCTGCTGCGCGCTGAGTTTTGTCATACTGGCGCAGGGACGAAATCAAGACCTTTTGGCTGGCACAACCAGCCTTCTCGATTCGGTAGGCGGAGCCCCGAAAGATTCGGTGCGTTAACGGCCACATGAGAACAAAATAGCTGGGAAGAGTACTGGTTATCCAAACCACCAGTCCCCCTGCTGGTTTGAAATTTGAACCACCTGTGTGGCCAGGAAGTGGGCAAGATAAAACTTCAACCAGCCATTTGACTTGAAGTGCCTTGGTTTCTTGCCTTGGGTCCAGAAGTCCCAGTCCCCCAGCAGATGGCTTGTTAGTGACAAAGTGCCAGGCTATTTTTGGTATACAGTTCCGTGTATTGGGGTCTCCTGTCCATAGGTAAGCCCTGGCCTTCGTATTGAGTCTCTCTCAATAGTGTCGTCCGGTATTGTCCAAATTGAGGCTATGTACCACATCATAGAGAAGGTTGATGTGTTGATGACCAGGGCTCTACCTAGCAAGAAGGTGCCCCCATTTTCCCATTCGATTGAATTGGTTTGTTACTAAATTGTTAGTAGATTTTGGGCCATTTGTCGAGACGGTCTGTCCTTCGGAACCTAAATTGCCCGATATCTGGTTGGGCCCGTTGGGGATTCTGGTCCCTCCCATGTCATTTGGCTCTCCAGGCCCTGTAGCTGCAGCATTGCTTCATCCGACAGCCACCATCCCACTGTCTTGTGCCAGTTACTCTTCATTTCAGAGGCCAATCTGAAGGAGTCCGAGACTGGGATGAGCACACATAAGTTGATAGAGGGATCCTTGTGGAGAATTGAGGCTATGGCTTCCATTACAAATAAGGTGGGTGGAGCAAAGGGGTCACCCTGTCTAACTAATCTTGAGCTGGGGTATGAATCTGAGATTATTCCATTGATCTGCACGCATGCAATCAGACTTGTCTTCAACTTCACTTTCAGCATACATTCACACAGGTGCCGATGGTCAAACAACTTCCTCAATGTAGAATCAGCAACAAGGATGAGATGGCGCACTGCGCCCACACAGAAAACGCAGAGACATGTCTTTTGGCCAGAAACTCAGTATAAGTCAACTTGTCACGACGTGTGGCTATGGCGACTGGCGCCGATCTGAATTCCCACCCAAAGACTTCCAAAAGCCGAAAGCATTAAAGGGATTGCCATCAGAGTAGGAGCATCATGACATTTTTCGATGTCTCGCGTGAAAGCATTGGTTGGAGCAAGAAAAGTGAGAAAAAGTAAACGAAAAGAATAATAAGAAGTCGAAAATACAGAAAGACTTCCAAGCCAAAAAACTTTTCTTAGAGGGAATAAGAGAAAGTCCTATCCGTCGCGAGAGCGGCGGCGTGCTCTACCAGGCTCTTCCCTTCCGCCGGTGAGCCAATAGCTCAAATTAGTTAAACGCAAGTCAACTTTGGAGATTTCCATTACTCCACAGGTCGTTGTGAAATCTACGCCAACGCGGCCTGTGTTTTGCATATGATTTTCTTTGTTAACAGGAGAATCGTACTGATCATGTAAAACAAAGACCCTTAATACAGGTGATCCTAAGTGCAACGAAGTTGCCTCTACCAAGAAAATTCAGGAACGCCTTCAACTGCCAGTGATATACTGGAGGAAGGTGGGGATGACGTCATGTCCGCATGGCCCTTATGGGTTGGGCTACACACGTGCTACAATGGCAATGACAATAGGAAGCAAGGCTTTAAACTTGTGCATAGTAACCGACAAATTAGGCAAAATACAAGATCTACGTGACCAAATTTTCCAACTCTGCCGAGCCACATGCGAATGCTTTTTCAACAGACAAGCATCTACAAATGGACCTTTCCATATCGCGTGGTAAAAGCAGAAGGTACGAAAGAAGGAAAAGATTGGTGTTGCATGCACCCATCAGGAAACAGGGATTTTTGAAAGGAGACTTTATACCCTTGGTTTATCATAGAGACGATTTCGGGCAAAAGAAATTCCCATGGTGTGACGGGCGGTGTGTACAAGGCCTGAGTACATATTCACCGCAGCATGCTGATCCGCGATTACTAGCGATTCCAACTTCTCTCAGTTTTTGGTTATTACCACCACCATTATTACTTCTTCTAAGTTATGCTTTAGTGGAAGTAGGTGCTGGTACTGGGTGGACGGTCTACCCACCTTTAAGCGGTATAACCAGTCATTCTGGAGGAGCTGTGGATTTAGCTATTTTTAGTCTTCATTTATCGGGTGTTTCCTCAATATTAGGTGCTATCAATTTCATTACGACTATTTTTAACATGCGTGGCCTAGGAATGACCATGCATAGATTACCTCTATTTGTTTGGTCTGTGCTAATTACAACTTTTCTGCTTTTATTGTCACTTCGACATGCAAAGGTTCGAATCCTTTTACTCCAACGATTAATTCCACTTCAGTTTTTGTTTTGAAAGATGACGTATTAAACTTCGGAAACCTCCAAAAGAAGCCAAAACAAAACCTATCCAAATACAAAAAATGAAAGGTAACTTCATTATGGTAGTATACCAACCAGTTTCAAAACTTCCAGTTCCTATCAAAGCATAGAGATCTGTGAAAAAGTTGGTATGTATAGCCACTTTAGTAGTACTGGTTTTTGGATTCGAAAAACGAAGTCCACAATGAGACGGACACGACTTATTCAACGTCGTTGAAGATACTCGTAGTGAAGAACTCACTACGAAGACTCAAGCTCGTCGTGAAAGGGGATCATTGGGAATAGCCAGCCTTTGGTTGAACCCCGACCGTGTCTCTGATACGCAGCTGAACGGAATACTCGTGAACGCCAAAACTGCTTCAAAATGTATCCTATTTAGAATCTCAAAAGAACCTAGTCGTATTATACGGTCAATATCAGTATACTTACACTCAAGGCCAACGAACGAAGTGGACGCTCGAACTTCGAAACTGCTTGCTGGAGGCAGCACCCGCATTTGTACTCGAAGTGTCTGATCTATCGCCAGAGTGGACCCAAAGGCGCAACGGGAAGCAAAGGCCTCTCTTATTTGACATTTAAGGCCGAAGGATGATTCATATATGAGAATTGACTCAACTCATTCTCGGTGAACTTATAAATAAGAAATGACGCGCGCGGGTCAGCATGAGTCAAATAAGGGCGCAAAGGTCACTCTGGCTTATTTATTTTATTTTATTTATATAATAATAAGGCAACTTGAGTTGGAGAGCCGTGTGATGGGCGACCATCTCGCACGGTTCGGAGAGCACTTGTAGAGACTATACGTGAAGAGTCCGAACAAAAAACATAGTCAATTCACATTTTGTACTATGATATCAATCAACACTGATCATTTACAGTTACAATGGTTAGCAGGATTGATTCTGTGATGTAGAATCCGAAGAGTGGAGATCAAGGTCAGCGACCTTTCAATGCTGGTCCTGGCGGAGTTCATGTTACTGTACATGACAGTAACATACATGATGGTAGAGGCCACTCTCCAGAGAGAGCTTGTGAAAGTAAGTAGACAATGGATCAGTGAGCAACTGTAATCGCCATCATCTTGGTCTGAGGGGCGATTACGTATGACACTCACTCTTTCTTTTCTTTTCTTTTCTTCGAGCCAAAATCAGACTAAGAGTCATTTTAAACACTCCGCCTGGGGAGTACGGTCGCCCAGGTCGCAGATCTCGATTGCAGGGCGACTCCAACTCTTCCACACCATCTCAAGCTGGCCCAGGCCAAGGGTGTGAGCTACACGTGCGTGGTATGCCTAGTGATAGGTCATGCCTGAGAGCAGCACGCGAAAGTCGAAGAACGGTTTCGATGAAGCAGTAGGTAAGGTTAGGATAACGGACTTGATACGTGAAGCCGGTCCCATTCCAGGCCATACGTTACCGTCCACGTCTCAAGCAGGCGGCGGGAGGAATTTTGCCCCAGTAATCCGTCTGAATGTTTAAATACATTCTACTCATATTTCAATTCACAAGTATTACATAAATCCTAAGTCTCCAATTAAGTGGGGCTTATTAGAGAATCCTCTTCCTATCCAATTCACAAGTATTACATAAATCCTAAGTTTCCAATTAAGTGGGGCTTATTAGAGAATCCTCTTCCTATCCAACGTATATAAGGTACGCCTTGAGGTAATAAAAAACTCAAAAAATGAAGTCCATGAGTTTGAAATCCCACTATAGTAAGCCCAATAAAAAGAGATGATGAAAGACCAAAGGTGACCACAAAATGACTTGTCAGTGTAAAACTATATGTTTTTTTTCGAGCCTTCGAAATATTTTTTTTTGTTTTTGAGTAAGTTTTTTTGTTTGCCAAACATTTTCCAAGATTTGTCGACAAGTTTTAAATTTTGATATGCGCATTTTATTTATCTCATTTTTTTTTCTTCATCAAATCGCAATTTTGGATAACGGGAATCGAACCCATATCCCCTGCTTGGAAGTTAGACAATTTACCTTTAATCTATATCTGCTATTTACACGCATTGT